TTTTCTGAATACGCACGTTGGATTGATCAATTCGTCTGTACATCCGTCTGTCTTTGCTTTGCAATGCTGATCTTGCAGGAGTTTGCCGACTACATAACTACACGTATTCGAACATTCCTAAGAGAGACTGGCATTTGACATGACGGTGCACAGCGTCTTCTTTTTCTTCTCTTTGTGTTGTTAAACTCACGTTCTGCATTTCTGGAAAGATGCATTTGCACATACTCATAGGCCACAAGAGGAGATATTTACTGAGCCGCCCAGGGACATGTGAGGGTAAGGTCAAGGCAGACAGTAATTCCTGACTGCAAGAATTTAACGCATGTAACTATTTTAAGTAAATGTCACATGCTCGGGTTCACTGGGAAGATCAATTTGCAGTAACTTTCTCTTGTTTCTTCAGCCTGACTTCCAGCTTATGTTAGGCAGAACAGTTGCAATATTGCATTTCCTCTGTTATTAAACAGAATTGAGCTCAGGGGTCACAATCCCGAGGAACACTATTAAACAGTAGTTCTGGAGTATGCCATTTCCCACAGAAAAGGGAGTTCTGTGTTGTGAGAGGAATTGCGCTATGATGAAGCATTGTAAAGTGCTTGTGTCTCTTCCCCCTCCTCCCCAAATTCTGTATGCTGGCCCAGGTTCTTTAATTTGTGTCTGCCTGTCAAAGCCCTGAATCCTGATATACGTACTTTTGCCTCCTGAACAATATCTCATCGCATAACTTCCACAGCATACGGACAGGGTAGTGACTTTGTGGTTTACCAGTCCTGTTTTGCCTGCCGAAGTTCCCATCCCTTCCCCCCCATACACATGTACATCACTTCACGGAGATTTCTGTATGGACGGGAAACAGTTTGGATTTAAGAGCCCAGAAGCTTTGCCAATCTGGAATCATACCTATGTTACAGACCTGTGAGGTCCTGCTTTACGTAACAGATTCAGGTCCAATTTCATGGCCAGCTTAATCTATCAGTAGCTGGCACTGCTGCTGAAAGATGTATCCAGCCACTTTGCTTGTCCTTGATTGACCCTGTCTATTGTGCCAGTAGAAGTTTCTGTCACTGGTTCACTCAAAGAAGCGATGCTTCTGACTAAACCCTCCTGCTGATCCTTCCAAAAAATCCTTTTTATTTGTATTCCATTTTTTCCTCACACCCAATGCTATAAAGAATTGCACAATGAGTTGACATTATGCAAAAAGCCACAAACCTGGTCTAAACTCCCAGTCCTTCAATTTACCCCAGGGCTGTGCTTAGTGAGCTTCATGTGCCAGGGACAGTTTACTGACATTTTAGTAAAGATAAGGGCAAAAATTCTTAACTCAAAGAGAGGAAATACTTAACAGCAGTAGCTATGTTTCAGCTCCATAGAAAATTAAAGTTTCTTACACAAAAAAAAAAAAAAGCACAAAAGAAAATCTCTTCTAGTCCCATTTTTCTTCTGATGTCAAGAAGTAGTAAGGTCGAAAGGATCCTTTCTCTCAATGAAAAGCCAATGAGTTAAAAACCCACACTTTGGGTGATAAAGTTTTTTGAGGAGTTTGACTGAGGGCTGCTCTGTGTTTTGCAGCACAGTAGGTACGTGTGTAGCCTGAACGCAAACCACCCTCACTTCGTCTGTCACTACTGGTGAGGACAGGCTGATGAACAGAAATGAAAGAGGGGATGGGGCAGTCACCTGTGCTCCTACAGTTCTGTGAGTTCCCTTGGAGGAGTCTGAGGATCTTTTTGCAGATTTTCCCTCTAGAGGAACGAGGCTTCAGGCCCACAGGAGGCCTGTGTCACACACAGCTGGCACAGCACCCCAGGGCTGGCAGGGGGAGGGTGGCTGGGTAAGGACTTTGCCAGCCCCATGGAGAAGCAAAAGACACAGCTTTCCTTGAGCAACGATCCTCCCCAGCCTGTGAGGATGGTGTCCGGGTGGTTTAGTGCTGATCGTGTTCTTCCTTAGCCGTTAAATCAGTACAGCCTGTATCAGTTTGGAAGCGGGACAAGGTACAAACAGAGCAGCTGGATTTCAAAACTGGCCACAAGTGAGTTCGCACTGAGGTTTCAACCTTTCTTGGATTTACAGGCCCACTAAAATCTTGTGAAGGTGTAACAAGTCTAAGCCTTTGCACAACAGGTTTACAGCCAAAGACTTTTAATTATTGCTATGCCAGCAACACCCCGTTCACTGGTGCTGTATGAATACCAAGAAAATCCTCTTGATTTTATATTATAACTCTTGATTAATCCACTTAGGTGTGAAATAGTAAATCTACCCTTAATTCCTACCTGCATCATTTGCAGATCCTGTAACGAGCAACTTAATCATCACCTATGTTTGTAGATATCTCTCAATAGGATCTCTCTCAGCCTAAATGTATGGTTGTGAGACTTACAATTTTGAGGTATTTCAATGGCAAGTATTATTCAAAACTCATTTATAGATTATAATATTTTAAAAACATTGAAGAATTTTAAGGACACTTTTAAGTGTCCGAGAGACACCCAATTTTAGATGAGGCAAAATTCCTTAAAATTCTGAAATGTTTTTAAAATAGTATAAACCTCATAATTAGATTTAAACTGAATCTTTTCTCATGATGGTGGCATTACAAAAAGAGCATTCAGAAGAAAAAAAAAATATTTTTGGCCATACAGCACTGTTCTTTCTGGTGTATCAGAAACATCTTGCATCTCTCTGGTGTTAAATATAAATTTGGGCTCCTCTTCCTGTCAAAGATAGTAAATGCAAATCCCTTTTCCAACATCAGATATCAAGCAAGGCACAAGGACTGTATTTCTGAGCCTACCAAGGAAAAAGCTAAAGCAAATAACCTCAGAGTTCCCTCAGACATCCATCACCTTGTGCTTCTCAACACTTGCTCCTTCAGTTATTCTAAATGCTGAAAGACATCCAACTGCCAAAAACATAATTCCTGATCCACAGAAGCAAGGTGGAACAACAGATATGCTCCCATGGCAAACACAAATGCCAGCAAAAAAGAGCAGCTTTAATGGAAGTGGCAAAACACACAGATGAGATTAGTAATAAGGATTTGGGCTTTTGGTTTTCTTGCATTTCTGACTTTCATAGAATCATAGAATGGTTTGGGTTGGAAGGGACCTCAAAGATCATCTAGTTCCAACCCCCCTGCCATGGGCAGGGACACCCTTCACTACACCAGGTTGCCCAAAGCCTCATCCAACCTGGCCTTGAACACGTCCAGGGATAGGGCATCTCCAACTTCTCTGGGCAACCTGTTCCAGTACCTCACCACCCTCAATGTAAAGAATTTCTTCCTTATATCTAATCTAAATCTCCCCTCTTTCAGTTTAAAGCCATTGCCCCTTGTCCTATCACTACACAGCCTTGTAAACAGTCCCTCTCCAGCTTTCCTGTAGGCCCCCTTTAGGTACTGGAAGGCTGCAATAAGATCACCCCAGAGCCTTCTCTTCT